CGATTGGGAAAGTGTGTAGTGGTGGGGAAGGGGGTCGTGTCTGTCGAGAGGAGATTTCGGTCGTGGTTTTTGGTAGTTAAAATTTCCTCTGCGGAGAAAAAAGTTTGTCCTAGCTGTCGCTTGTTTCCCTGTGAAGATCGCTGCTCCGAACCTGCAAGGACACCGTTCTGGCTGTTGGTCTCAGACGTGGGCGGCGAGAGCTTACCTGACAAGCCTGGGTGTGAAGATCTGAGCTTGTGTTGTGTGGGATTGTTTGCCTGCCTGTTTCTCTGTCACTTCTCCTTCTACCTATTCGTGAAGCTCCTACCGCCTTTTCTCCTCCCTCTCTCTTCTCTCTTGTCTCTTTCCTCCTTTAAGTCTGGCCACGTCCGGTGGCGTGCCGTGTCGCTTGATCTTGTCTCCTCTTCTCTTTTCGACCCGGCGGTCCCTCTTCGATTCTGGATAGGTGTGCGCCTGCCCGCGCGCGGGAAGGAGCTCGAGTAGCCACGCAGGGAGTGGAAACCCTGTCTGACCTCTTGTTTGCAGTCCTATCGGCCTTATTGCTGTCCTCCCGGTTTTACTAATTGTGGACTTCCTATTGCTGTGTTTTGTCTCTTCTCTTCTCGACTTCTTCTTGCTTCCTCGCTCTCTTCCCTCGAATGTGTGGAGGAGGTCGACTTCTTTTCGTGTTCTTCTCCCCCTCGCCGTTGTCCTTTTGCAAGATCCTCAATGCCTCCCTTGTCTGTACCCCACCTTTGCTATTCTTGCAATCCTGCCGCGTCTCCTTCTTGTCTCTTTTGAGGATGGAAATGATGGCTATGGATTCCTTGTCGCCACGCCCGAGGGCATGGCTTGCTTTACTCCCACTTGGTCGGATTCGAAGATTCGCGTGCTGGAATTCGCACGTTCGGCTTGCCGCGCGTTTTGCAAAGGAGCGCCTGGTAGGGCTCGGCCTTCGCGAAGGGCGGTAGCGTGGTGGCGCGGGACGGTAGCGCTAACCAGCGGCGCTAGCGCAAAAGTCGTTTCGGGGAAGTCACGACACAGAGCTTTAGAAAGGTTGCAAGGGATACACAGGTTTTTGAGCATTTGTAGGACCTCGGAAGGTTTGGCATAGTAATTTTCTCAGTCATTCAAAATTTTTCTATCTTCTCAGCCTTTGATAGTTCTTAATAGTTCTCAGACTCTTGAATTTCTTCAATGGTTCTCAATAGTTCTCAGATTGATTCGCAGCCGAAGCCGGGTAATGGCCCCGGTGTCTCAAATGATTTGTGTAACTCTATATGGGACGCTGGGCCCGGTTCCCAGCACGCTGCTCCCCACGAATATATTGGAGCATAAAAAAAAAAAAAAAAAAAAAAAAAAGACACGCATTGATCAATTTGATTTTGAGACCCAACAAATTTCGGCGAAACTAAATAGGCTTGTTGACGCCTTGTTTAGGCATCCTGATCTTTGTGCTACGACCCACCGCTCGTTTGCACCTCGACGAAGGTCAACAGCGATACTTTGTGCGAACCTACAAGTCCGGCTCTGAGTTCAACCTACCCTATGAGAAACTATCATCCGCAATGTCATCGACGTCCAACTACTGCATCAATGATAAATGGTTGCTTATCCACTCGTGTGACAAAGCCCTACCTTCTGTTCCTCGCAACCTAAAATTGCGTAGAAGGTTTCTTGGTGAGTACCATGACTCAAGCCTCACAGGACACGTCAGCGTCAACCGCACTATTTCCAGTTTCACCGGTGTTTTTATTGGTCAGACTTAGTGTTAGATGCTACGGAATACTGTTAATCGTGTCAAGTTTGCAAGCAAAGTAAGCCACACAAACACCCTTCGATGAGTGACGAGTTTTATCAATCCCCCTCTTCCTTGCAATGGACATCATCAGGCCATCTGACGAAGTATGCGCGCTTTATTCCCATCAAGTATCATGTGAAAACTCATGCATTGGCTGAAGTCTTGCATATGGGCTGGATATGTCATAAGGGCTTTCCCAAAGACATAATTAATGATTGACACCCTCAAATCATGTCTTACTTTCATAGTGCTTTTGTGAAGCGTTCGTGGTCGCAGCTTAGGTTGAATTCCACCCACCACCTTTTTTTTTTTTTTTTTTTTTTTAATACAAGAAACATCAGGATCGGACGTAGGGGAGGTGCTGGTAAGAGCAGACACCCCCTCTACGGCCGCTGTTTGCGGATGGCTCCGTTCCATTGGTGGATCGATGGTGGAATGGGAAGAGTGTACCGGACTGCACAAAGGATTGGGTTTAGTGTTTGACGGATAATGAATTAATTTACAACATCCCACTACACCCAATGATCAGCATCTCTTCATACGAGCTGAACATGGACAATAAGCTGATTTCCTCATCCCGCACTAAATTTTTTTTATTATTATTTTTTTTCCCCCCCCTCATCCCGCACTAGATTGACTCAACTGTCCTTGGCACATCCACTTCTCTATGAATGTTGCAGACCTGCTGGCCAAAGCTTGGGACAAAATGCACGAGGTGCAGACACGTGTACAATAGTAGGCCAACTGAGATCGCTTACTATACCCATTCCACGGAGGCATTTTAGTTTCAAATTGGACTTTTTGTCGAGGAGGTTAGCCTTGAGCAGAATATCTTGCAAAACCTCTCCCAAGTGTTTTGGTCATTGGCACATTTTGTCTGCAATCGCCGACTAGTCCATGCAACCCTTCTTTCATCATTGGTGTGCGCCACCCCACCTCTACATACATCCAGTGTTCTGCACACCCAAGCTTACTCCTTTCGCACCACCGAGCACAATATTTTCCTACAGGATCGTCCTGTGGATGCATTTCCGTGGGTTTTTTGCACATCACCACACACAACCATTCTGGGAACAAGCCGATGTCGTACAAGGTGTGCTTCGCTTACTGCCACTCCTGTACTGATCGTTCACTTACCCTCGTACAGCTACAAGCATTTGCAGCAGATGTCACTGCCGACTGTGAGTGACGATCACTAGCTAAACAGGCCATGCAGGCTCGTCCCTCTTGCCCGTCCCCCACTCGGATTGACAATTTCACCCTTTTTTTTTTTTTTTTTAACCCTTGCAGGTCGCTTGACTTCTCAAGGAGGGGTGGTGATGGCGTGCACGAGCCTCTCATAAGCCCTATGGCCCAACTTTGGCTACCGGCCTTTAGGCCGCATGACACATATTTTGGTTGGCCTTAGGGCCATGGACATGTTTCGACACCGTAGTCAATTTCAGCCTGAGTTTATTTTTACCTGCTTGCGCTTTTTTTTGTTGAGTTCATTCTATTTTCACATTTTTCTCTGTTCTAGTTTTGTCTGGGTTAGGACAGTGTCATTGAGATTTTTGTCAGTTGTAGGTTTTTTTTTTTTTTTTTTTTTTAATAGGAAAAGCCGTTGTGCAAGACCTCTATCCGGGTGGTGGTAAGAGAACCACCGGAATGGAGGCTTTGCCTATCGATCTGCTCCATCTATTGGTGGGGAGTGTCACCTGCTGGAAATCGGGTCCAGTGTCCCTTAGATACATTGCCTCCAGCAGGTGAAGCTCCCCACCAATTGATGGAGCAACCCCACAGGCAAAAAAAAAAAAAAAGAAGAAAAAAAAAAAGGATACATTGTCTCAGCTCAGTGTCTGTTGGGACTATGGCCATATCAGTTCCCAGCCAGAAGCATTGTCTTTCCCTCGGGGCTGCATTAAAACACCCTTCCAACTTCTAGAGCTCATACTTCCTACTGACCCAGTCCCCACCTGGAAATTGTCAACTTGTCCTCTTATCCTATCCCCCCTTTAGTTTCTTGGACCCCACCGGTCCCCTCCCGAAAAGGAAAGAACGGGCGTCCTGGATGGACCAGCGGACATGCTGGTCTTTCAGGTTGGCTTGTCCGTGTGTGACGGTGGATGCCGCCCACGGCACCGCGCGACGGTTTTCGGAGTCCCGGTGCGGCGCCCCGGGGCAACAGGCGACGGAAGTAGCAACGACATTTTTTTTGGGATCTGCCGTTGCAGGTCACCCCCGGAATTCAAATTCCCGGGGTCTGCATGGGAGGTACTCGTGCATATCCAGCATTCCCGCAGTGTAGTGGTGTGCGGGTGGCTGTGCAAACGTTGGTACGCGGCCATCGCTTTGAGCTCTGTCAGTGGACGTGTTGGAGGTTGTAGTGGACGAAGGCCATGGAGGAGTCAGGATGTTGGATGAATAGTCAGGAAACCGAGGATGCTATGTGCATGCTGCTTTTCGTCCTCTTGCAGTGGGTGAACAGACGAAACGTGGCGGCGTTGGCAGTTGTGGAGGCGGTATCGTTGATGCCTTTTGTCCACCAAAATGTCTCCGCTGCGGTTACACTGCTGGCTGGGGGGATGCTGCACGGTTTTGCTCTGTGTTCGTTGGCGGTGGATGAGATGGGGAGGACAATGGACCGCAAACGTCGTCTGTGGGTGCTGGAGCGTAGCGGCGGTCTTTGGAAGGATCTCCAGCGAGTGGGGGGTGAGCATGACAAGGTTTTCCTTCGGTTCTGCAGACTCCCGAGGCCCCTGTTCTTCGAAGTTCTTGCTCACGTCGGCTCCCATATCCAGCGGTCGCCCACGAACTACAGATTGCCAATACCCGTGGGACAAAAGTTTGCATGCGCTTTGATGAGATGGGCCACTGGCGGTTACTACAGGCAGTCCTCCCACAGTTTGGGCATCGGCCTCGCAAGTGCTTTGCGCAGCAACGAGGAAGTGGCCGACACAATCATTCGGGAGTATGGCCATCTGCTACAGTTCCCCACAGGGCAACGGTTGGAGGACGTGCAGAATGGCTTCGGGGGAAAGGCTTCCCCGGGTGTGTAGGCGCGATAGATTGCACGCATTTGTATATTGACAAGCCGAAGGGAGAGCGATCGGAATGCTACTACCACCACACTGGGGGGTTTTCGGTTGTGGCCCAAGTCGTTTGTGACCACGAGTGTCGTATTTGAAGTGTTTATGTGGGTTGTCCGGGGTCTGTGCATGATTCGAGAGCTTTGCGCATGTCACCATTGTTTGCAAATGCCACGGAGGGTAGAGGAGTGTTGGCTGAGGGAGGTGCCGTGTTACACGACGGTAGACATGTCGGGCGTTATCTGTTGGGTGATCAAGGGTACCCTCTTCTGCCATGGCTCATGACTCCTTTTGGCCCTTTTGCTCGAACTCCGGCGGATCGAGCGTTCGATTTGAGCCACAGTGCAGCGAGGTCGTGCATTGAACGGGCTTTCGGACGTCTGAAGGCGGTTTGGAGGAACTTCATCCGAAGACATATTTGCAACCTGAAGACAGTCTGCAAAGAATTCATGGTCATCTGCATTCTTCACAACCTGATGATCGAGCACAACGTGCAGATCGACCCGGCGCTGTGGGAGGATAGCAGTGACAGCGATGGAGAGAACAACGAACATCGGAACCGTCAACGATGCAGGCGTGGTCGTCGATTCAACCGTCACCTCCCGGACTTGAACATCGAGGCGCCAGCAGAGGATGACCCCACTTATGGGGGGGAACTCGTGGAACACGTCAGGGCCAGCCTGGTGCAGCACGTGCGCCACCACGTGGCAGTCCACGGGGCACCACAACCATGCCCATGGCGGTAGTGCTCTTCTTTAGATTTTTGTGTGGTTATGTGTCAGAACCCATTTTAGGACGTTCGGTGTGTTGGAGAAGACTTTCAGGTAGATGAGGGTTGGTCGAAGGACAAGGATACGGGCACACAAGTTTAGTGTCGGTATTGGCGGTTGCCAATTCATCCAGCAGGGTTTATGAGAGGGTCATGTTTTGTCACTTCGAGCGTGGGGGGTACTCGTGCACATTTATTCATTTGTGTACTTCGAAATGTTGAGTTTACGGGCACACAAGTTTGTCAAACGACGCTGTTTTTTTTTACCTTTCCGGAACATTTATTTATTTGTGTACTTCGAAAATGTTGAGTTTAATTTTTGTTTTCGTCGTTGTTGGAGATTGCACAGTCGTGCGTTTTCGTATTTCGTTCGTGTCCCGTTTCTCGCTCTATGGAGCACCTTGTGGCAAACATTTTTACAACCCCGATGGAACATGTTCATGTCGAACGACCTAACAATTTATCGCACGTGATACAAGCAATGAAGGTTGCAAAGTGCGAGACGGAGGGACAGAACACATGCATTTCGAGGGCCGTTCAAATAATTGACATGCATAAAGCTCGACAACAAACTCACTATGAACAATACATGTGCGAGTGACATATTCATTTCGTTTGCTTGAACCGTTCGTTTGACGAATTCCGGTGCGGTGAATTACATCAGAACACACTGCACATCCATATACGACGCCCCAAGTGTCATGACATCGTCGAGAACATCAAACCCGAACAACAAAGACAAAAACAAAACAAACAAAAAAAAGGAATTGACGTGACACTCCTGTGAGGGGGAAAAAACGGAAAAAAAAAAGAACCCGATAAAAAATTAAAAAAACAACTTCCACCAAGCAAAGTGCATCGATTTCAAACGAAAAAAAAAAAAAAAATTAAACTCCGTAACGAATGCTTGACTCTCTTCCAACATGGACGGACAACAAAGTTCGATGATGTAAAAAAAAAGACAGTCGTTATCCCATAGCAAAGCTGAAAAAACATTACGGACGACCGATCGTCGCTTCCTCCCGTTGAAGGATTGATTGAACTTCATCGTCAACGTCATTATCGTCATGAGCATCACTGTCATCGTCAGCATGATCGTCATCATCATCATCATCATCATCATCATCATCGTCATCATCATCATCATCATCATCATCATCATCATCGTCACCGTCATCGTCATCATCATTATGGTCGTCATAATCGCGGTAACGATGACAATCCCTGTGACCACAGTCGTCGTCGTCGCTGGCATGTGCCACGACACGAGCATCCTAATCACGACTGTCGTCCTCAAAAATCATCATCATCGCGGTGGCGATGATGAAGGAACGAATATCTCTCAAGATTTCCTCTCTCTCTCTCTCTCTCTCTCTCTCTCTCTCTCTC